CCCTCATATTGAATACAAACACCAACAGTATGTTTGACATTATACTTGTACTTATAAATATATGCCATAAAACTAAGTTCTTTACATTTATAACTTCTTCTGAAACCCAGAAAAGGAACTGACGAAGAAGTGATAAATATCAAACATTTCATACGAAACAAAAAATTTTCCTCTGTAAAATTAAAAGGGCACAGTTTTGACAGGAGATAAAAATAAGTGGAAAACTGACGCCCATGACTGTGAGACCTAAATTACAAACCTCATTTTGGCTTCCGGAATGCTCAGAGTAAATCAAGTATTGCAATTTTCAAAAGAAGATATGGTGTATACTGTTGTCAGATTTTCTGACAGGATTAGAAATAATACATTATAATTTAAATCTCAACTTAAGTTTTTACACGTTGAAAGTCAGGTTAAAGCCTTTACTTTCATTGTCGATTCAGATCTAAGGAAACGTGTTCATTCTTCAAACTGCTCATGCGCAGACAACTAGTTCTAAGTAAAGAATTATTACGTAATCGTTATTTTCAGTTTCCATATGTCATTACATGGTAGTTCTAAATAAAGACACTCTAGCAAGACTCGTTCTTTTCAGTTTCCATATGTCATAACGAAAGGGAATTTTTAACTCATTCTGTAACAACTGACACAAAGTAATGGCAATCTCAAACTTGTGTGCTGATTCGTCATTTCAAAGTTAAGTTCCTTAAAGACTTTTACCATGCACGCGCGGCCCCAAAATTAAAACTGGGTTTTACGGTGAAACACAAATCCATGTCATTTTTGAGAAACAAGCTCTGGTCTTGTCACGAAATTATCTTCCAAATAAAGACTACAGAAAGTTATGCACGTGACTCCTAGTGATACGGAAGCGTGTGTGAATTCAGTAGTAAACTTAAGAGGTTTAACGCTAATAATCGGAGCTAGAAACCAGCAGAATCTAAATAATCCATAATATAACTTTTTGCTTAAGCATAAATACATATTAACAAACGACACTGTTTTATTAAAGTGACCAATATATTTCATTAGATGGCTTCGTCACTATTACAAGTTGGTCGTTTGATATTTAAAATATACTTTCTACAATCCAGTAGACTTTCCAAAAGCCT